CTGTAGTCCACGAAAGCTTATGCTCTAATAAATTTGTTAGTCTCTAAGGTGCCACAAGTACTCCTGTTCTTCTTTTTGCGGATACAGACTAACACGGCTGTTACTCTGAAAAGTGACATTTCAGAATCTTATGTCTATTGGTTTGAGATTTTTCACTAAAAACTTGAAATTTTCTATGGTAATTTTTTTTCCAACCTGGTTTAGCTCCTCCCTCTTTCTTTCATTAGCCCTGGGCAACAGGAGTGGGGGCATCAAACTTATCTGACATTAGAGGTTGATGCAAAAGACTGCCCTCGTAGGAATCCCAGCACCTTCCCCCTTCTCAGCAATTGAGGGTGGGCATTTCATTAGAGCATTGCCTCGGGCCTTGTTGGGTTCCCAGCTTCTTCTTTCCTATCAGGTGCTGGCTAGCAGGGCTACTCCTTTAGCTAGGTCTGAAGGTATCTGGTCTTTTTTCTTCTTTTTTTTCAAGACCTGCTCGCAGCAGAGTTGAAATAAAATTCTGGTTCGATTGAAGCTGGATTTGAGTGTTGCGATTGACTTCAATGGGACCAGAATTTGGACTACTAGGTATAAATTATGAAGGAGCTGGACTAGCCTACTTGAACAGGAGAAGAGAGGGAAAAAGGCTCCTTGATCTCAGAAAGGACCCGCCAGCTATTCCGCCTGTTCCCAGAGCCAAGGAACACACCTCAGCTGCAATCAAAGAAAGCACAGGAATAGGCAACTCTTTGCAAAGAGCACAGCTCCTTGTGGGGGTGGTGGGAGGGGAGTGAGACCCAGCCTGTTCTGGGCTCTGCTGTCAGACAAAAAGCTATTTAGAAGACAAGGAAGTCTTGATAACTGCTGAGTAAGAATAAATTCTAAAGCAGGGGAAGGATGCTGGATTTCACTAGGCAAGGTAAGTCTGTTCTTGGAGGAAATTTTCCTCTCTGAGGCCAGTTAGGAAATAAAAAAGGGAACATAGGAACTACTGGGATGGATCCGATCCATGGTCCATCTAATCCAGTGGCTCTCAAACTTTTTTACTGATGACCCCTTTCACATAGCAAGCCTCTGAGTGCGACCCCCCCCCCCCGTCCTTATAAATTAAAAACACTTTTGTATATATTTAACACAATTATAAATGCTGGAGGCAAAGCAGGGTTTGGGGTGGAGGCTGACAGCATGTGACCCCCATATAATAACCTCATGACCCCCGGTTTGAGAACCCCTGATCTAATCCATTAGTCTGACCCTGACAGTGGCCAGTACCAAATGAGCCAGAGGAACCCCACAGTAGCAGATATGGGATAATCTGTCTCCACATTTGGTTTCACCCTGAGCTCTAATAGTTAGAGATCAGCTTAAGCCCTGAAGCAGGAGGTTTAATATCCCTTCCCAAAAAATTGTTCTTAGGGGCCTGGGAAACATCCAGCACTGACTAAAACAAACTGTTTGCTCAGGGGGGAAAGAATCCAGACAGTAGAGATGTTCTATCCTGTTTGTGTACAAATCACATTGCTGGAAGCAAAAAGACTTCCACCTGGACTGCTCTGATAAAGACGTCACTGTATATCATAGACTCATAGAAACATCGGGCTGGAAGGAACCCCGAGAGGTCATCGAGTCCAGCCCCCTGCATTGAGGCAGGACCTTGTAACCTGAGACCAACCCTGACATGGGTTTGTCCAACCTGTACTTAAAAACCTCCAGTGACAGAAAGGTGCTGGTAACTTGACCTGGATGCACCATGCTTCAGTGTAAGACTCACTGTCTGACCCCGCTGGCTACTTCAGAGTCTGAAATAAACTTGATGCCTGTAGCGGGGTTGTCACCTCTCCTGGCCTGAAAGGGGTTAAACGCCAGCCCTTGGAGAGGGTTGGGACTGGGAGACTTAGGCTGGGCTGATTGGGAGGCAGCCTCAGCTGTGGCCATGCCCCAAGCAGAGTCAGCTGGCCCTATAAAAGATAGGGAAGCCAGGGGCAGACATACAGTCTCTCTCTGGCTGTAGAGAGAGATGGGCCTGGCTGCTGGGGAGCTACAGAAGGTACCTGGAGTGCAGCAGGGCCGGGGGAAAGCCAAGGGAACTGGGGAGCTCTGGCCTGGAAACCCCCCCAGGCTGCAGCCTAGTATAAGGCCAAACAGGTACTGAGGTTGCAGGGGACAGCCCAAGGCTAGGCAGAGGCAGCAGGTCCAAACCCAACCTTGCCTGTGATGAGTGGCTGATACTTCAGTCTGCCCCAGGGAGTGGGGGCTAGTTGGTGACTGGCAGTAGCCTGTGACTGAGGTGAGGTGGGGATAGGGGGTGGGGGTTCCCCAGGGAGGGGAGACCCTAAGAGTGAGGGGTCACTGCCAGGGGCAGCATCCCAGAGAACAGGGCACCGGAGTCCAGGAAGGGATGCAGGGGCCCAGCTCCTGCAGAGGGTGCTCCAAGGCTGGAAAACAAGCTAATTCCCAGGACACCAGCAGGAGGTGCCACAGGGGTGAGTCCCACACGGCTACAATGCCATTGTGCATGTTTGTGCAAGGAACATGCATGGCCTTCCTGTGAATATCCAGAAGGAGCATTCAACCATTGGGGTTTCTGAGGCTGTGGTCAAAAAACAACTCTCTGTTACACAGTGGGCCAGATCACCCTGTCACTTACACCCCTTCTGCTCCATTAAAGTCCCTCTAGACTAAGCTATAGGCACTTCGGCCCAGAGGATGGAGAGCTACTGTCAGCCATGCACTCTGCTGAGAGTGCGCAGCAACTACATTTCTGTCCCCTTTTTCTCCTAGGCAAGGAAGCTGCAGCTCCACATCCACACCCAGGAGCGACCCTGTGGCCCAGAGAGTGGGTGAGGTGAGGAAGCTTTAGGCAAATTGCTGATAGAATGGGAGTGAGTCAGGGGTAGGAACTAAAATGTGCCCCGATCTCTTGTTTTCCCTACTTTGCCTTCAGGTAAGGAGCTGTGCCAAGCAACATGCTGGTCAGCATGCGGGGTGCTACTGATGGAGTCAGACCCCTCTGGATGCTGCTAAGACATCCCTGACTAGTAGTGTGAGCCCTGCGAGCCCCAGTTCGTCAACCTGGCCTCTGAGACTCTGCTGCATTTTGGGGGGTTGTGTTTTGGGGTTTTGTTTTTTTCAGTCTACACGTACCTGATGAGGTCTACAGCCTTCCCCAATTTCATATTGCAAGGGTCGAAACCTACTTATTTGCCAAGCTTTTGCCTAATAGTGTCCCTGTTCTCACCAATTTAAAGCCATAGGCCTGTCTCTTGCTGGTAGGGAAGAGAGAGGGGACTGTTGAATTTTAACTGGAGGTGCTCACGTACTACAGTGATGAAGGATAGAGCCTCAACATACAAAGCATATCCTGTGATGCCAACTCCTTGAGCACAAGTGTTCTTCCAGTGTCCTGGAAGAGTACAAAGATCAGGGAATCACATCTGCATGGATGTGGGAGGAAGCAGCATGGGGACATGACAAGGAGATCTAAATAGATGACTGTGGGGGGGGAAATAGAGGGGTATGGATGATAGATTAGATTCAGGTTGTGCTTTGAAACAAAATATTAGCATTTCCAACAGCATACCCTGTGTATGTTTGTCTCCCTGGCTGCCTTCCTCCTTGGTTGTCATGAACAGACATTTTCAAGTCAATATCCAAAATAATGATTAGCTTCTCTAGCCCTGGCTAGTAGCACCAGCCACTGTAACACTGGCTTTCTCACAGATGAAGACAGGCACTGCTGGTTACAGCCCTTTGTTGGAATATTGGAAGTTGATCGATTCCTTTCCTTTCGTCTCCGCTCACATGGATCCCCTGCTGTAATAAAGGTGTGATCCACTTGGCTATTGCTGGCCTGAATCTCGGCCAGTGCCCACCCAACCCTCTGCCAGATTTGTGCTAGCGTCTGCCCCATTCTGCCACTACCTACCTAAATCTCTGCGAGTGCCTGGCCAAACCTTACCATTGGATCTGACTCATTTCTATTGTCCATTGTTACTGTGTCTGCACCACCTTTCCCTTGTGTCAGCTCCCTGGCAGGTTGGCACATTGCTTATAAACATCCTCTCCTGAAAATGCCTCTGGAGGGGGAATTTTCCCAGACACACGTAAAGCCAGTTGTTGCTCTTGTGACATATTTATTACTGTCAATATATCATTTGTTTCAAAGAAACTAGCAACACAATTGGAAAGCCCTGAGGGAAGTGTGTCTGCTAGATCATCAGGGTTGTAGTTACTGTCTGGCTGGAGGCTGCACTGAGGGCAGGAGTCAAGAAACAGCTGCCAAACATCTCCTCTTGCTTTTGATGACCATGTGATGGTCGAGTTCAGGGTCCTGACACAAGGAAGAAAGGAGAGCAGCAGAATACGGACCCTGGACTTCAGAAAAGCAGACTTTGATTCCCTCAGAGAACTGATGGGCAGGATCCCCTGGGAGAATAACATGAGGGGGAAAGGAGTCCAGGAGAGCTGGCTGTATTTTTAAAGAATCCTTATTGAGGTTACAAGAACAAACCATCCCGATGTGTAGAAAGAATAGTAAATATGGCAGGTGACCAGCTTGGCTTAACAGTGAGACCAGGGAGGAGACCAGGACCAGTTTGCTGATCTTAAACACAAAAAAGAAGCTTACAAGAAGTGGAAGCTTGGACAAATGACCAGGGAGGAGTATAAAAATATTGCTCAGGCATGCAGGAGTGAAATCAGGAAGGCCAAATCACACTTGGAGTTGCAGCTAGCAAGAGATGTTAAGAGTAACAAGAAGGGTTTCTTCAGGTATGTTAGCAACCAGAAGAAAGTCAAGGAAAGTGTGGGCCCCTTACTGAATGAGGGAGGCAACCTAGTGACAGAGGATGTGGAAACAGCTAATGTACTCAATGCTTTTTTTGCTTCTGTCTTGATGAACAAGGTCAGCTCCCAGACTGCTGCACTGAGCAACACAGCATGGGGAGGAGGTGACCAGCCCTTTGTGGAGAAAGAAGTGGTTCAGGACTATTTAGAAAAGTTGAATGAGCACACGTCCATGAGCTGGATGCGCTGCATCTGAGTGTGCTAAAGGAGTTGGTGGATGTGATCGCAGAGCCATTGGCTATTATCTTTGAAAACTCATGGCGATCAGGGGAGGTCCCGGATGCCTGGAAAAAGGCTAATGTAGTGCCCATCTTTACAAAAGCGAAGGAGGAGGATCCGGGGAACTACAGGCAGTCAGCCTCACCTTAGTCCCTGGAAAAATCATGGAGCAGGTCCTCAAGGCATCAATTCTGAAGCACTTAGAGGAGAGGAAAGTGATCAGGAACAGTCAGCATGGATTCACCAAGGGCAAGTCATGCCTGACTAACCTAATTGCCTTCTATGACAAGACAACTGGCTTTGTGGATGAGGGGAAAGCAGTGGATGTGTTATTCCTTAACTTTAGCAAAGCTTTTGATACGGTCTCCCACAGTATTCTTACCAGCAAGTTAAAGTAGTATGGGCTGGATGAATGGACTATAAGGTAGATAGAAAGCTGGCTAGATCATCGGGCTCAACAGGTAGTGATCAATGGCTCCATGTCTAGTTGGCAGCTGGTATCAAGCGGAGTGCCCCAAGAGTCAGTCCTGGGGCCAGTTTTGTTCAATATCTTCATTAATGATCTGGAGGATGGCGTGGACTGCACCCTCAGCAAGTTTGCAGATGACACTAAACTGGGAGGAGTGGTAGATATGCTGGAGGGTAGGGATAGGATACAGACGGACCTAGACAAATTAGAGGATTGGGCCAAAAAGAGGTTCAACAAGGACAAGTGCAGAGTCCTGCACTTAGGACGGAAGAATCCCATGCACTGTTACAGACTAGGGACCGAATGGCTAGGCAGCAGTTCTGCAGAAAAGGACCTAGGGGTTACAGTTGACGAGAAGCTGGATATGAGTCAACAGTGTGCTCTTGTTGCCAAGAAGGCATTTTGGGCTGTATAAGTGGGGACATTGCCAGCAGATTGAGGGACATGATCATTCCCATCTACCTGAAAGGGGGTTCCCAAGTGGATGGATCTAGACTGTTCTCAGTGGGGGCAGATGACAGAACAAAGAGCAATAGTCTCAAGTTGCAGTGGGGGAGGTCTAGGTTGGATATTAGGAAACACTATTCCACTAGGAGGGTGGTGAAGCACTGGAATAGGTTACTTAGGGAGGTGGTGGAATCTCCATCCTTAGAGGTTTTTAAGGCCCGGCTTGACAAAGAAGTCATTTAGCACTTCTGCCATTTCCGCAGGCTTGACAAAGCCCTGGCTGGGATGATTTAGTTGGGAATTGGTCCTGCTTTGAGCAGGGGGTTGGACTAGATGACCTCTTGAGGTCCCTTCCAACCCTGATATTCTATGATTTCTAAGAGGCATAGTCAAAACTCTGACATGCGGGACACCCGCACACAGAAATACACACAGAAACATGCGTGCATAGACACACCACACACAGAGACACACATGCATAGACATGTCCACGTAGACACATGCACACAACACACACCAATGTGCACACCCAGGCAGGCACACACGCGCATACATGCACACAGATCCATACATGCACTGACATGCACACACCTATGCATGCACACAAACACAGAGAAACATATGCAGACACCCATGCCCACATGCATGTACACACAGAGAAACATGCACAGACAGCATAAATGATTATTCCTTCATGGGCCTGAGAAGTGCTGTCAGCATATTCAAGCTCATATTTTTCCCTTTCATGACTGAAATTAAACATGGCTCATTGGTCCAAGGTTTTCTTTGCTTCAGTGTCTCTGGAATATTGTGTCCAGTTTTGGGCCCCCCACTACAGAAAGGAGGTGGACAAATTGGAGAGAGTCCAGTGGAGGGCAACGAAAAGGATTAGTGGGCTGGAGGACATGACTTATGAGGAGAGGCTGAGGGAACTGGGATTGTTTAGTCTGCAGAAAAGAAGAGTGAGGGGGAATTTGATAGCAGCCTTAAACTACCTGAGGGGGGTTCCATAGAGCAGTGTTTCCCAAACTTGGGACGCCACTTGTGTAGGGAAAGCCCCTGGTGGGCCGGGCCAATTTGTTTATCTGCCGCGTCTGCAGGTCCGGCCGATCGCGGTTCCCACTGGCCGCGGTTCGCTGCTCCAGGCCAATGGGAGCTGCTGGAAGCAGCGCGGGCCGAGGGACATACTGGCTGCCGCTTCCAACAGCTCCCATTGGCCTGGAGCAGTGAACTGTGGCCAGTGGGAGCTGCGATCGGCCAAACCTGCGGACGCGGCAGGTAAACAAACCGGCCCGGCCTGCCAGGGGCTTTCCCTACACAAGCCGTGTCCCAAGTTTGGGAAACACTGCCATAGAGGATGGAGCTCAGCTGTTCTCAGTGGGGGCAGATGACAGAACAAAGAGCAATAGTCTCAAGTTGCAGTGGGGGAGGTCTAGGTTGGATATTAGGAAACACTATTCCACTAGGAGGGTGGTGAAGCACTGGAATAGGTTACTTAGGGAGGTGGTGGAATCTCCATCCTTAGAGGTTTTTAAGGCCCGGCTTGACAAAGAAGTCATTTAGCACTTCTGCCATTTTTGCATTTTCTGTTATTGTTTTTCACCCCTCTTGTCTCCAGTGCAGGGGTAAGGCCAGGATGTCTCTATTCCCTGGTGATCCCCAGCTGCCAGAGCGACCCCTTCGGGGCCATTGGCAGCTGGAGTAAATTAGAACTGCTCTGAGGCTGCTCTAATTTATACTGGGGACTGGCCCAGTTTCCAGATGGACTCAGGATTTGTGTCATCATGTTCTGAGTGCAGGGTTGGCAGAATGTCCAGGCAAGGAAATGAACAGTCCAAACCTCCTTACATTGTAAATGGCCTGG